AAAATATTCATTTTCGACAGTTCGTTGTAAATCAATACGATAAAAAGTAAATCATCGTGTAGAGGACAGCTTGCTCTTTTCAAACGATATATCTTGAAGAAAATTTTATATTGAGATGCGCTTGTAGAGACGATTAAATAACAAGTGCTTGAATAATTTTGAAAGAATTAAAAACAAGGATCTAGTTTTTTTTGTTGCTAATAAAGCCATAACAATTATGTGGATTAGTGTGAAAAATTCCATAGATATACTAAGTAGAGTGGCGTATATTATGATGAAAACCCGATAGTTACAGCTAATGTAGATTATGCGATACAAATAAAGCAAAGAAATAACCTATTTGTCTGTTGAATAACTTTGATATCCACTATATACAGAGAGTGTTTCAATTATTTCAGAGTTATTCACGTAAATTTTCCGGATGAACTGTTGAGATACTATATGTATAATCAGTAATTATGATTTGAATAAAATAGAAAAAAAGAGTGATCATAAAATGGAATTTATTCACAATTATGTGTATGAGTTATATTCGCCATTGGTATTTGCCTATAAACTAGGATCGTGATTATTAAGACGCAACATTGTCTATGTCACTAAATTAGTTCAAAGAATCATTGCTAAGCTTTAGATATAAAATAGACTAAACCGAACAATGAATTTTTTTCATTTATTAAAACAGCTTGAATTCCATAAATGCTAGCGAACTAAACTAGGAGATCAAAATAACTGTTCATGATTAGAAATTTGTCTTTCTTCTTAAATAAGTTTGACTACAACTGTTTTCACTTCATAATATTCTTCAAGACCATATCGTCCTAATTCACGTCCATGGCCTGATTGTTTAAAACCGCCAAATGGTGCTTGATTACACACTGCAGCATAATCATTAACCCAAACAGATCCAGCTTGTAATTGTTGAGCAAATGTAAGACCACGTGTTACTAGAAAATAATCATTATTATTTCATTCGTTTCTCTCAAGAACTTACAATCTTTTGTAATTACACCAGCAGCAAGACCAAAACTTGTATTATTAGCTCGTTTAATAACTTCTTCATATGAATCAAATTTTAATACTGACATTACAGGACCAAAGATCTAGACAATGACATTATTATAAATCATCACAAAGGAAAAAAGGAACATCATACTTCTTCACGAGCAACTTTCATATCATCTTTGACATTACTAAAGACTGTTGGTTTAATAAAATAACCTTTATCGCCAGCTCGTTCACCACCACACTCTAATTTAGCACCATCTTTTTTACCAGATTCAATATAATTTAAAATCTTTTCAAATTGATTAGCATTTATCTATAAGATGAAGCTAAATTTAATTTCGTTTGTTTGTAGAATATAAAACTTCATACCTGTGGACCTTGTACAGTACTAGGATCAAATGGATCACCAACAACACGGGTTTTAGCTAGTTCAACACTTCGAGCAACAAATTCATCATAAATTTTTGCATGAACAAATGTACGAGATGCAGCAATACAACATTGTGAAGCATTGGTAAATATAGCTTGATGAGCAACACTTACAGCATAATCAACTATTTATCACATACGAAAACAACATAGAAATTGATTGTTTAGAAAATTTCCTTAAAGCTTACGATCAGCATCTTCACAAATGATCAATGGGGATTTACCACCTATATTTTGAAAAGAAAATAAATTCATACGAACTTTGTAGAATACTACTCACCAAGTTCAAGTGAAACACGCTTAAGATTTGATTTAGCTGCAGCTTCTTGAACTTTCTTTCCAATCTCCAATCGAACATTGAATATTACTTTGAGCTTTTTTCAAGTATAATATTCTTACTTCAACTGAACCTGTAAAAGCTAGTTTATCAATATCTTCATGAGCAGCAATGGCATTGCCACATTCAGGTCCATCACCTAAATTATGTCATCAAATTTTTTATCATAACATTATTTGTTTTACCTGGAACGATGTTTACAACACCTGGTGGAAAGCCTGCCTGGAATATTAAAAAAGAAAAGATATGATTCATATTTTAAATAGAACCATTGATAAAAATTACCTCTTTGATAACAGCAGCACAATAGAGTGCAGTAAGTGGTGTTTGTTCAGCTGGTTTCAAAATGATGACATTACCTGTTTCATATATTGGTAAGAAGAAGCATTAACAACAAACTGACATATGCACTTACCACAAGCTAAAGCTGGACCTAATTTCCAAGTCATCATCAGAATCTAAATTATAGCGAAATGACTTATATCGACATTTTAGAGGAGAAAAACTTATACTGGATAATTCCTACAAAAGAAACATATTTTATCTCTATAAAATTCAAAATTGCAACTGACCATGGAATGATTTGTCCACAAACGCCAATTGGTTCATGACGAGTATAAATAACCTGATCATGTGCTCCAGGAATGGTTTCACCGGTAATTTTATCAACCCATCCAGCATCTATAATCTCGAAATATTATCTGTCAAATATCAATAATTAGATATACATACAATATTCAAGACAATCAGCTGATGCAAATATATCACCTTTACTATCTTCTATTGATTTACCATTATTAAGAGTTTCTAATTTCTAAAAAAAAAAAAAGAAGAATTTTTCTCTGTGACTATGCAAGAATACTAATAAAAATCTTACAGATAAATAATCTACGTCACGTCGAAGAAGTGACGCAAATTTTCGCATCAAATTACCACGTGCAACAGGCTCGAGTTTACGCCAAGGTGAATTAATGTCAAAAGCTTTACGAGCAGCTTTAACTGCTTTATCAACATCAACCTACAAAAACAATACTGAAATATGAAATAAAAAAAAAATTCACAAATGTAGTAATACTCTAGTGCCCTCTGCTACTTGGCAAATTTCTTCGCCTGTAGTTGGATTGATAACTGCAAATGTTCTACCATTCGCTGCTTTATGCCATTCATTGTTAATAAAAATTTGCGTATATTTAATTTCAACTTTAGGACTTTTTGAATCAGTCGACGACATGTGAAGAATCGTGCAAAAAAAATTGTAAAAAGTAACTAAAACTGATGTGTTTCGATTTACACACAATAAGATTATACTATAATTGTCTTCTACGTCGATAAGAAGACATTTATATACTTCGTTCGTATTTTGTTTTCTGATTCTCCTTCATAGATGCGCAAATACAAAACCTACTTTTTTCTTCTTCCTATGAGTTGCACCTATACTCCTTTTCGCACTATCGTGTCAGCAAGCACAAAATAAATATATTAAGAAAGCGTCGATTTTATACTTGTTGATATACTGGTATAGTCATGTAGGTTAAGAAAGCATTGCGAAGAACAAAATTAGTATATAATTCAAAAATATTATTAATAGAACTATCTACTGATGGGTGGCTTAATAACAATGAGGATGTGGGTTAAATGGACAGCAACCGCCACACGCCCAGTCACCCATGTCCACACCTACTACAGTGGACAGCCAGGCGTGGGTGTGGGTGTGGGGTGTGGGTGGGGATGTGGGGTGTGGGTGTATTGGGTGTGGGTGTGGGTGTGGGTGTGGGTGTGGGTGTGGGTGGATGTGAGTGTGGGTGTGGGTGTGTGTGGGCGTGGGTGTGACTGCGGTTGTGAGCGCTTCTGGCATACAATCTCAAAACCGCACCCACACCCTTTTTTCGCCCGTTGGGCAGCGACAGTATTACGGTCGTATTTCATCGCATTGTAAATGACCGTCAACGATCGGATAATCAATTTTCAGGTCGTTTTACGGTCGTTACTAACCGTGTACAATACGATGACAAACGGGAGTAATGCGGTCGCTACCAAACGTCAATTCAAGACTATTTACGACCGTAAACTGTATAAAACGTTAGTATATGTTACGGCGGCCGTAATCATCGTCATATGAAGTATTAAGAATTATTTAGAACACATGCGACAACAAGACATGTAGAATTTGTTTTTTAAATCTTTAATTTTCCATATAAAAAGAAAATACACGGTAAAACTCAACTCATGATACTATTTTTGTTGTTGACGGTTTTTTTTTTGGCTGGTGTTCTATGAAATTATATTTACTCAGCTGTATTTAATCTGCCTGTTGATAAGAATTACTTTCATTTTATATCTTTACGTTCTTATCTACGGTTTTTTCCTTGCTTCATCTGAATCACATGAAAACGTTTTTTTATGAAACAAAACTTGAGTTATATATACGTATACAGGATGTCCTGAAAGTCATTGACCAAAAGTTTTTTCGTGTATCTTTACTATTTCATTTAACTTTATCAATACAATTTTTTTTAAATTATAGGTGAATATACCAAGTTTTTATTTATCCGAACGATCTTCCATATTATTGTGCAAAACTATCACCTTGGATCAAGATACAAAAATTTTACTCTCTTTTTATTTCCAGAAAAACATTAT